TTTCCACGAGGGATCCAGTGCCTCTCTCCGGTCTCGGAAGCCCGCGCTGCGGTCTCTTCCGCCCGGAGAGAGAAATCAATACTTCAGTGCTCTACCTCCGAGGAGGTAGATGTGCTGGGCATTGAAAGTGACACAATCATGGGGGAAGTGGATTTGCCATCTCTTCCCCAGCGTATGAGAATTATATATAGCCTATATATATATATATATATATATATATATATATGATAGTTTATATATTATATATAAAATAAAGTGTATATATATATAAAGAATGTGTATATATAAAAAATATATATATAATAATAAGCTGGTGGAGGTGTTTACTAAGGCTGTAGATAAATTAAATATTTAATGGCCAGCAGAAATAAGGGGGCACTCGTCCTTAAAATAAATTGAACGAGTTTCCTTCCCTCTATTTTTCCACCTCCATCACGGGGCCTTCCATTTTTCCCGATCTGCACAGCGAGCTGTCTAGATCATGGAAAAAGCCTTACTCATTTTTTAGCCCCACATTCATGTATATTCAGATATTTGGGGGTTAAGAGAGTATGGCTATGGGGCAATACCCCGGGTAGAACAGACACTTGCGAGCTATGTCTCCCGGTTCAGTATCGTCCCTGAAGGCGTCGGCTTCTCTCACTAAACCATTAAAGAAAACTATTTTTTAATCTAGTGGGAAAAGCATATATGGCAGTGGGTCTAGCACGAGCCTGCTTGCACACTATAGTAGTGCTGCAAGCATATCAGGCTGACCTGCTGTGGTATTTGGACAGAAGTGAGGGAGTTGGCCCGATGGGGTTTGAGAACTCCGTCGGGCCTCAGATTTATCTCTCAGGGATGGCAGCCAAAAAAAATGTGGTCACTGAGAGACACCTCTGGCTCAATTTGATGGGAATCATGGAGAAAGATACAAGATAATCTCTCCCTCGCTATGTCCAACCCACTGGGGCTGCTGGGCGTGAGCAGCTCCAGCCGGCTAGTTTCTCATACACAACACAGCAGCCAAAGCCTTCAAAGCAGAAGCCGGATCCGAGGTCCGTTCTTCATGCTGAGAAGGCTGCGGCTCAAAAGAAAGGGTCTGGCGCCACGGCGTCTGACCGGTGAGGGCAGCCCCAACCGGGGTGGAATGGTGTACACCTCATTATACGGTGCCCTTTCCATCTCTGTGCCCTCAGGGGACCGTTCTGCCAACCCCGCCACCCTTGGTGCTTCGGGGCGCAGCGTTCTCCAGCGAGCTTCTGGCGCAGCGTCAACTCGACATTGCGTCGGACTCGCGCCCTCTGAGGGGGTTCGAAAACAGTCAGTTCGGGTGGTTCCTGCCAGTATGTTTCAGGTCCCCGAACTGGCTGTCTTTATTACACCAGAGGCCAGCCTCGAGGGGCTGGTTCCCTTGGTAGATTTTCTGGCAGCGCGGAAGCTACTGCCAAATATATCTCTATGGGTAATGGTAATCTCTCTGGTAATGGAGCAAGGGGTAAAGGCCCTGTTAGCAAAGAAAGCTATAGAGCAGGTGTACTCACCCGACATTGCGTCGGGTCTTTACAGTCGTTATCTCATTGTTCCAAAAAAGGATGGAGAGCTGCGTCACATACTAGATCTTCGTCTGTTGGAGTGTTTGATGCTGGAACTCAAGTCCAGGATGCTGACACTCAAACAGATTGTGACTCAAATCAGATCCGAGGACTGGTTTGTCACGATAGATCTAAAAGACGTATACTTCCATATCTCCATCCTCCCTCAGCACAGAAGGTTCCTGAGGTTTCCTTTGGGGCAAAGAACACCAGTATCAGGCACTTCCTTTCGGTCTAGCTCTATCACCCCGCACATTCACGAAGTGTGTAGACGCAGCTCTGGCCCCGCCAGGCTGCAGTGTATACGCATTCTGAATTGCATAGATGACTGGCTGATTCTAGGGGAATCAGAACAGTTAGCGGTTCGGCACCGAGGTGTCGTTCTCGCTCGTATGCAGATGTTGGGGTTGAGGCTCAATGCCAAGAAGAGTGTGCTTTCTCCAGTACAGAGAACCACTTTCCTTGGTGTGGTATGGGATTCAGTGACGATGCGGGCCACTCTGGCCCGTTCGTGTAGCTGTTATCCTAACAGCCACAAAAGAGCTGAGGCTAGGCCAGTCACGCACTGTAAAACAGTTCGAGAGACTGTTGGGTCTTGTGGCAGTAGCGTCCAACGGGATACCTTTTGGCCTGCTGTACATGAGACCTTTGCAGTGGTGGCGCAGGACCAGAGGGTTCTCCCCGAGGGGAAACCCACTTCGTATGATCAAGATCACGCGGCCGTGCCTTCGTGCCTTGGTTATATGGAGGAAACACTGGTTCTTAACCCAGGGTTCGGTGGTGGGAGCTCTTTGCCATCGAGTTGCTATCTCGACAGATGCTTCCCTCACCGGCTGGGGAGCGGTATTGGAAGGCCGCTCAGCTCAGGGCTTGGGAGGAGTCATCATCTCGCTTGGCACATGAATTTCCTAGAGATGATGGTCGTCTTCAATGCGTTGAGACATCTCCTCCCAGACCTGAGGGGCCATCATGTGTCTGAAACAGTGACTGTTAGGCCTCAGGGCAGCAGCGTTCAATGTGATACCCTTTGACCTGCTGTACGTGAGACCTTTACAGTGGTGGCTCAGGACCAGAGGGTTCTCCCTGAGGGGAAACCCACTCCGTACGATCAAGATCACGCGGCAGTATCCCCGCGCCTTGGTTATATAGAGGAAACTCTGGTTCTTGACCCACAGACAACACGCTGGTGGCCTATTATTTTGGTCCCTCAGGAAATTACGCTGTCTGAGGGCAGTGTATATTCCAGGGGGGCCAGAATATTGGAGCAGACACCCTGTCGAGGCAGGGGCTGAGGCCAGGGGACTCCACCCCGAGGCGGTGGAGCAAATATGGGAGTTTTTGGCCAGGCAGAAGTGGATTTGTTCTCGTCTCAGCATACGACGCACTGTCCACTCTGGTTATCCCTCACCTCAATCAGTCCCCTCGGGGCTGGTTGCTATGGTGCAGACGTGGCTGAGGCTACGTCTGTACGCATTTCCCCCTGTTGCTCTGCTCCCAGGAGTTCTGGAGTGATTCCGCCAGGATGGAATAAGCCTATTTAGTAGCACCACCCTGGCCGAGCTGAATTTGGTTTGCGGACCTAATTTTTCTCCTCGACGGACCTCCCTTGGAGGTCCCGATCAGGAGAGACCTTCCATCTCAGGCAGGGGATGCAATATTGCACCCCCAGCAGGGGACCGGGAAACTGTGGGTTTGGCCTCTGAGGGGGCCCAACTCATAGAGAGTGGTCTCTCAACCGAGGTTGTTGAGACCATTCTAAGCTCCAGAGCTCCCGCTACGAGGAAACTATATTCACTATTTCGAGAGTTTTTCACTTCTTGGTGTTACCAGCGTCAGTGGGATCCGGTTAACTGTTCAGTAAACACAGTATTCGAGTTTCTGCAAGAACGCTTTGTATCAGGTCTATGTCCTTCCACGCTTAAGGTATACGTGGCGGCCATTGCGGCTTTCCACGCCCTGGTGGGTAGTACATTTTTGGGTCGAGACCCCCTGATCACTCGTTTCCTTCGTGGCACTTTGAGGCTGAGGCCTGCAACTTGCACTAGGGTGCTGGCTTGGGACCTTGCAATAGTTCTAGAAGGCCTATCTGGGGCTCCCTTCGAGCCCTTAGATTTGGTCTCAGAGAAGTTCCTTTCTTTTAAGACTATTTTCTGCTAGCTATTTCATCCCTATTAGAGTCAGACCTTCAGGCCCTTTCGGTCCCCACCTGCCTTGAGTGCACCGGGGATGGCCAAGGCATTCTTACCCGAAACATGGATATGTTCCAAAGGTGCCTACCATTATTCCGAGGCCTATTGTGCTGCAGGTTTCTGTCCTCCTTTTACATCTGGGGACCAGGAAAGGCTGAACCTCTTGTGTCCAGTGCGAGCACTGGATACTTATGTTCATCGGACATCTTCAATGAGGAAGTCCGACCAGTTATTTATTTGCTTTGGATCACCTAAGAAGGGTCTTCCTGCTTCTAAACAGACGGTTAGTAAGTGGATAGTTGAGGCTCTTTCACTTGCATACGAGTACTCTGACCTGCCGTGTCCTTTGGTGGTCAGAGCTCACTCTACGAGGGGTATGGCGGCCTCTAAAGCCTTATTATTTGGAGTTTCTCTTCAAGACGTATGTGATGCGGCAGGCTGGTCCTCACCGCTCACGTTCGTCAGGTTTTACAGTTTGGACCTGGATGCTGCCCCAGGTTCTCAGGTGCTTAGTGCTTAGTTCCAACAGACTAACACTCAGGTACTTGGAATTCTGGCGTTTTGGGTATTCTCGTTCCCAAAGCGTCGATGACGCATCGCGAGTTCCCTCGAACGGGAACGTCTCAGGTTACGACTGTAACCATAGTTCCCTGAGAAAGGGAACGAGACGATGCGTCACCCTGCCATACTTCCTGCATCCCTGTGATCGGCTTGCTTCGACTTTTTGAAGCTAATGCCGCGTTTCACCGGATGTGCTCTTATGCCTTCCTGGTCATGACGTCACCCGCCCGTGACGCTCATTCTTTCCATTGGACTAGTTGACATTGATGCTCAGACGCATTCACGCTGGGGGCGTTCCCAAAGCGTCGATGACGCATCGTCTCGTTCCCTTTCTCAGGGAACTATGGTTACAGTCGTAACCTGAGACGTTTTCTGCGGGGGAGGGGGGGGGGGGGGGGTCAATGGGGAAAGAAAAATTATCTTAATTCTAGATTTTAGATAATTTTTCTTACCCCGTTGGCATATACCGTAATTTTACATTTTTCTAGGCAAAAAACTGACTTAATTAGTAACCCCCCCCCCCCCGGGAAAACAAGACTTAATATCTTATGGTATCTTACTCATCTAGTAAATGCATTTTGATGTAAGAATTTTTAGATATTTGGACTGGAAACATACAAAAACACGAAGTAAGCACATGCTGTTTTGCAGTGTGTGGACACGGCCTCGGTGTTACCTGAGTTCTCGAAGTCGCTGTAAGACGCTTCCCAAGTCTCCGCCATGCCGATGAGCGTGTTCTCCATGATCTGGAGGTCCGTCGTGGGACAGTTGCATTGTGGGAACTCGTCGGCACATTCACAGATGCACTGGCTGTTCTGGCAGATGTATTCCCCCTCCCCGTTACACATGATGTAGCTGAGAGCCGACTGGACGAACTTCTCCTGCAGGTATTCGGGGAAAATGACCTGCAAACCTGAAAACGGGAAAGAGAATCAATGTTAAAGTCATTACCGAGATCCAAAGGTATTATTGATTTCACATCAGCGAGCAACAGGTAGAAAGTGCTGACAGAACTTTCTTTATTTCACATTAAGGCCCTGCGTATAGGGATCGCATGTGGAGCATCTACGGTTCAGATGCGGTGAATTATCTCCGAATCCATCCCGACGCTGACAGTGAATCATGTTTTGCTGTGAAAAGTTTTGCCAGAGGTCCACTTGACTTTGAACTGTCCCCTCGGAGTGGGAGGACTTTACATAATGGAATAAAACGGAGGAGTGATTGATGTATTCTTGTCGTGATCGGCTTCGGCTTATTTACCAGGGCTGTCATAATATCCTCTGCTCTGTGTGTGTGTGTGTGTGTGTGTGTGTGTGCAATAGCATCAGACCATACAATAAACTTATCTCACGCTAGTGCTCCAAAAGTGATGTCTGTAAGAGACCAACCAGAACACACTCGCAACCACATGAAACCCGGCTATAAACACTCAGAAAACCAACAGTAACTGGGCAATATTGGCAAAAATATCTCGTATTTTCTCGTATTTTCTGGGTTTTTGTGCTGGTACCTCGTTTCATATTCTTCATATTCCGTACGGTTATCAGTGACAGAAACTATTATCCACTACGAGGCAATATTTGCTCCCTTGAATTGATTTCCAGGGATTTTTAACCTTTATAATGGTATTATTTCCAACTTTGTTGGGTGTTTGTGTCTAGTGTTAAATTCTTGCATTTAATCAATACATTCAATTAGAACAATAAAACACTATAGGGCTGTTACCAGTCAAATGAAATCAGTACCTCAGTAAGTTTGAAGCTCCATGGCCCAGTCGCACACACACAGCCATTACGTTAAGACTGACAACTATAGCAGTTAGTCAAGGGGAAATCAGTCTTACTTTGTGGCATCAAATTAGATTAATCTACATGTAATGACTAACTTTTCAGACTAGTCTTGGCAGTTTCTGCAACCAGCCGGTGAAGTGGCATTGAGCTTTTCTCTGCCATCAGTACACTGCAAAAAAAATGCTTTTCTTACTTAGTATTTTTGTCTTGTTTTCAGTCCAAATATCAAAAAATTCTTAAATCAAGATGCATTTACTGGATGAGTAAAATGAGATAAGATATTATGTCCTGTTTTCCGGGGGAATTAATCAAAATTAAGTGAGTTTATGCTTTTAAAAAAAAAGCAAAATGATCTGCCAATGGGGTAAGAAAAATAATCTTAATTCAAACAGAAACAACATTATTTGTCTTACCACATTGGCAGATAATTTTGCTTGTTTTAAGTTCCCCAGAAAACAAGACAAAAATACTAAGTAAAAAAAGGATTTGTTTGCAGTGTAAATCATTGGTCACTCTTAAAAGTGTAGTTAATTTACTATGGTATTCTCTGAAGCTTGACTGAAATTTCTCACAAATATTGTTTTCATTTTATAATCTTGAACAGTTGCTTAGCTTCTGCTTTTTCTAAGAGACTACTTTATCTTTTGTCAGATGATTAATTGAAGGTATATTCTACCTTATGATGCTATTTTGCACTGATGTGGTCACTAGCTATTTACATATACACACACACCTCATTCTCAATAATGCACTTTCTGTGTTTATACGTTACATTTATTTATATATATATATATATATATATATATATATATATATATATTTTTTTTTTAAACTGCATTAAGCTTGTCTCTGCACATGTATCCTATATTTTGCTCCTCTATAATATGTTATATATATATATATATATATGTCTGTGTGTGTGTGTGTGTTTAGATTTATGAATGTATGTATATTTACTGTTTGCACTTCTGGTCAGATGCTAACTGTGTTTCATTGGCTCTGTACTTATACTCTTCACAATGACAATAAAGTTGAATCAGAATCTGAATAGTCGACCCGTCAGTTGATGTCCGTCTATTTATTTCACCAAGAAACACACAACGCAGACAGCACCAGTTACACATAAACAAAAACCTCACAACCACCCAGAACAGCGTAACACCTGACGGCACAGCAATGCCCGGTGTTTTCTGTAAACTGCTATCGGGGAAGTTCACTAGACAATCCTGAAGGACAAGACTTGTTCCATGAATAAACACATCAGGAGACGCAATATATCCCTCATGATGTACAAATACAGCCGAAAAGCCCTATAGAACGATATATTGTGTTACATTGCCAGAGACCGTATCATTCTCTTAAATAAATAATAAATCATACCTCGACATAAAACATGGTTAATGGAAGCCAGACCCGATATAATACAGCGTATCCATTTCTAATGGGAGGAAATGTGCATCGTGCGGCAGATAATTGCTCCATAGTAATTACACATTCACTCTGTGAAGCATTATAGGATTTGTGTTCGAGGCCATGCTGCATTTATTTAGCTTTACACACTAGAAAAAACACTGAAAATGTATTTTTTAATATCTAGATAGATAGATGGATGGATGGAGAGATGGATAGATAGATAGATTAGATAGATGGATAGATGGATAGATGATATATGGATGGATGGATGGATGGATGGATGGATGGATGGATGGATGGATGGATGGATGGATGATATATGGATGGATGGATGGATGGATGGATGGATGGATGGATAGATGGATAGATGATATATGGATGGATGGATGGATGGATGGATGGATGGATGGATGGATAGATGATATATGGATGGATGGATGGATGGATGGATGGATGGATGGATGGATAGATGGATAGATGATATATGGATGGATGGATGGATGGATGGATGGATGGATGGATAGATGGATAGATGATATATGGATGGATGGATGGATGGATGGATGGATGGATGGATGGATGGATGGATGGATAGATGGATAGATGATATATGGATGGATGGATGGATGGATGGATGGATGGATAGATGGATAGATGGATAGATGATGGATGGATGGATGGATGGATGGATGGATAGATGGATAGATGGATAGATTAGATAGATGGATAGATAGATGGATGGATAGATAGATAGATGATATATGGATGGATGGATGGATGGATAGATGGATAGATGGATAGATAGATAGATGATATATGGATGGATGGATGGATGGATGGATGGATGGATGGATGGATGGATGGATGGATGGATGGATGGATGGATGGATGGATGGATGGATGGATGGATGGATGGATGGATGGATGGATGGATGGATGGATGGATGGATGGATGGATGGATGGATGGATGGATGGATGGATGGATGGATGGATGGATGGATGGATGGATGGATGGATGGATGGATGGATGGATGGATAGATAGATAGATAGATAGATAGATAGATAGATAGATAGATAGATAGATAGATAGATAGATGATATATGGATGGATGGATGGATGGATGGATGGATGGATAGATGGAAAGATGGATAGATGGATAGATTAGATAGATGGATAGATGATATATGGATGGATGGATGGATGGATAGATAGATAGATAGATAGATAGATAGATAGATAGATAGATAGATAGATAGATAGATAGATAGATAGATAGATAGATAGATAGATAGATAGATAGATAGATAGATAGATAGATAGATAGATAGATAGATAGATAGATAGATAGATAGATAGATAGATAGATAGATGGATGGACGGATGGACGGATGGATGGATAGATGGATAGATGGATAGATGTGTTTGCAGATAATATAATATTAATAACTTATGAGATTGCACTATCATGACTTGTTCTTAACACACTTAAGTACTGATGTCATAATATAATAATGCCAAATTGAAAACCTTTTCACAATATTCTAATTTTGAATTTGGGGTTTTCATAAGCTGTAAGCCATAATCATCACAATTATAACAAATAAAGGCTTGAAATATCTCACTTTGCATGTAATGAGTCTATATAATATATTAGTTTCAGCTTTTAAGTTGAATTACTGAAATAGACGAACTTTTGCACGATATTCTAATTTGTCGAGTTTCACCTGTGTGTGTATATATACAGTATATATATATATATATATATATATATATATATATATATATAATGAAGGATACAACAGGTGAAATAAAAATCTCACAGACATCATAAAACTTTTGACTGTTAGTCAGCGCCCATCGACTGAGAACATGCTGGGAAACACCACAGCCTTATTACAATATACTCTATACCCCACTTTCCAATTTCTTCATACAATCTTGTTTATGCATCTGTTTGTGATAATGCATAAGTGATGTGGTTTGGACTGGGTGTTGCAGATTCCCAGCATCAGTGCAAGCCCGTGTGTCTCTCCATCAGACTGTCTGTGGACCCCGGAGCCAGGATTCATTTAGCTTGATGTATTCCTGCTCCTGCAACTTTAATGTGATTTGTGGGAGAATCCAGATGGTGGGTTCATGGATGGGTGCAGCTCGACGACAGTGGCGGTGCCAGAAGCCCTGGGTTCACAATAACACACCCAACGCAACACACACACAATCCCCTCCTCTATTACTGAAACACCCCAGCACAGTGACTTCATCGCTCCTCTGCCTCAGTCTCTCAGTCCGACTGAAGTGTGTTCCAGTCATGCTGGAGTTTCTTTCACTGACCCCGTTTGAATATCTATGTGAATAAAAAAAAAAAAAAAAAAAAAAAAATCACTTTGACTCTAAAATCAAAAGTAAAAAACATTAAATTTTATTTTGTTTTAAGAAAATGCTATTTTTGTAGGTTCATTAAGATGTTTTAAATTGTGACATCATTTCCAAGCCAATTTTCCTATAAAACACTTCCCCCATCCACAACAAATTCCCATTACTATTACCAGATGCATTTGTTTATTTATTGATTAATTATCTTTCTTAGTTGAGATTATATTACAATTTGTCTGATAATTGCAATTGTATATAATAGTATTAATTAATAACATATTCAGGAAATTAGCTTAAGTGTTCATATAATGTCAATGCAGGCACCAAAAGCTTA